TGGCTTAAAAAGTCATATGCGACGGAGCAAGACAAAAAAAGAGCACCAAAACCTTTCCGATATTTTCAGCGACTTCGCATTGGTTAAACATGGAAATGAAGAGGTCAAAACTAAATTGTGTACAATACCCAACTACCTCCGTATGACTTGCAAGGGGTATTTGGATCTTGGTCTGCGTTTTAATCCTCGCTGAAGAGGAATTACCCGATCACCAGAAACAATATAATGGTGTCTAGTTGGAAGTTCACTCGTCAAGGGAAATATCACTGCTGATTGACAGAAAGGTCTGTCAAATACACAGTTCTGAGTATAAAGCCATTCTACGTTCTGTCCATTAAAGCCATGGTATTTATTTTGCACGAATATACCCATAAGTAATGAAATGCTATTCCAGGCAACAGTTTTGTTTTGCTACTGAAAATGTGACGGCCAATTGTGAATCCTTGTTTATGGAATGCGAACAAACGGACAGCTAGGGCTTTGTGTCTGATTAGATCTCCTATCGACATAAGAATTTAATCCGGGGGAGCATTGGCCTTCCATGGCTAATGTAAGGTAAACTCTACTGAGTCGCATCACTACCATCTCCACTAATTTGGGCTGAATGATAACCCAGCTCTGGAGACGTTCGAGAGGTCCCCAGAGGTCTATGTGCCGTTTTTTGTATGATTACTCTTCATCCATACAGAATATTTAAACTGCATGCTCCTATAAGTTTTGCCTATTGCGGTTGTCATTACTCATGAGTAGATTTTACATCGAATATACACTCACTTATATACGTATATTAATTAAATTATACTGATTGTTTGACCAATACATATGTGCTTACATTTCTCCAGAAGATCATGGAGTTCTGTCAACTTGCAAACCACATAAGTTTCAAGTGTTACAACATTGTTTTACATTATTTTTTATTACGCTTATTGATATACTCTGAAAACCATATTTGTCTAACGGCTTGAATTCCATGTGTACGAGAGAAGTGTATATAGACACATACAGTTCCTTGAATTAAGATGCATGTTCAAATTCTGCAGCATTGCATCATTGGTTCGTTTGGCGACACCGCATCTCGTACATTCCAAGGCAAGGTTTACACCTCCATGATGACAGTTGAGCGATTTTGGTCAGTAGTCATCTAGCGCTCATTGGGCAGTGTCGTCCTGCTTCGAAATATTTTTCATCTGCGTACACGCAGGCAATGATAATTTGGATTGCGTAATGGTATTTATTACAGTTTCTGACTGCTCACTATAGCAAAATGTAACAATAACTCAGGATTTTATCACCATCGGTGGAAGTCAAAGATAATTCTAAAATAAATTAAAACACTAAGTAGCGTCAAAATTGCAATAAGTAATTTTAATCAAAATGAAAACAAAATATTAAATTGAATGTTCGAACATACCTCTTTCTTGGGTTTGACAGTAACCTAACCTATTGTAGAAGCCTGTGCCAAGATTTTCAGGTGTAACATATTGGCAACGCAGCAGATTGCATGCCCTTCTGCGTCACCTTGCTAGACAATGTGGTGATAACTTCGCTCTTCAGCCGGTTTCTATCTCTTTCTAACATGTATTGATACACACTTCTTCGCGCTTCTGTCTCGTACACTCAAACTGTCAGACACATTTGGTTTTCCCTGTATAAGAATCAGGACTTTTGATTTTGGATTCAAAGCACAGATTTTTTATGAATTCCCATTTTAAAAAACAGACAGTGGTCAATTCCCAAATTTTGTGAAATCAGTATGCATCGCCTTACATATCTGTAAAATCCCATACAAGTGCTCCATCTTGACTCGCTTCCAAGTGTAGAGTATATTCAACGAAGTTTACGATACCACTAAAAAATTTCTTCTCAGGTGTATCCTAAAATATAAATTTCCTTCTAGTCCCGTTTCCGTAAGCTCTCTGGATGCAAGACTAATCCAGAACGGGCTTTGGTTTGCTCCTTTTTCACTTCGGGCAGCAATGATTATTAATTACAGCTCGTATAAAGTCCCGAAGATCTCTTTTATCTGGTCTTTCCGCATGGTTTAACATCAGACGAACGTCTGGCGAATTTCAAGGGTTTTTCAATGAGGGCGAGGAGTATTTATGTCTAGCCAGTATAATTTTTTTACGTCCTACGAAGCACTCAATGCGATGATCGAATTTTTTATCATGCCTTCATCATGAAAATCTAAAGGAACGAGGGGCACAGACACTAAAGTAGAAGGTTGAAATATCTGTTACATAGGAATAGGAACCTTTATCAATATATACTACTTTAACGTGAAACGTAAAACCTTACTAGCTTATTGCTTTTTGACGGATTATCTGTGACGTTCCCGATTTACTTATAGGTCTCCACAGGACAGCCATATTTATTAAATTTTTCGTCTCTTCGGCTACCGTAAATGCACTGTTCCAAATGGATTGTTTTCCTTCTGGATAAGATTGTATTGTTAACAACTTAAAGAGATTGTTGACATCCATTTTTCAAGGGTTGACTGTTAAACAAGTATTTGATATTCGTATAGTAAAACCCTATTCTTAGTCCATTTACGCCCTTGTACAACAAAGATGCAGCACGGCAAGTTCAAGATTCGACAGGATAGAACTCAGGGTCGGGGTATCGCCGGCACGCCGACGTCGGCAGTAGCTGTTCATATTCTGGACATATATAGCGTGTGTTCATACGTTAGCATGCCGTCTACGGCAACCCCCTTATCATTGCGAATTAAATCCCATTGAAATGATTTGGGCAAATATAAAAAATGTATGTAGAACATTCAATTATTGACGTGAAAAATTTGTTTTATGAAGCTGTCAACAGAGTGACGGCAAACCATTGGAAAGATTGCATCCGTCACGTTCAAGAGACAATCAAAACAAAGAGGTGGGATCTGGACAATAGATCGATATTCAAATTGAACCTCTAATAATTAATATTAACCGTTCGGGCGATGATTCAAGTACTTCCGGCGAATAAAGAATTGTGAAAGCTATGATGTGCACTTCTTTCTATAAAAATAATCATTTATTTTGTTAGATTATTCCAAGACCATTGAGGAAAATAGGGACCTGTACAATCTCGCTTTTGGGCATGTTGTGTTTTGTCTGGACTACGAATGGGGTATAGTAGGATTTGATTTTTATTCCGAATACCGCTCATTTCTCTCACATCTGACGAAATCTTTATCTCCATTACAACGCCGCGGTAGGGTAGCATTCTAGAGATGGTACTACCTCAACCTAGAACTTATTGCGTTATACACTTGACGCGAATTTTTACGTCTGTCAAACAGGCTTAACCGGCTTAATTTTTCTATTGTACATGTTCGTAACTATTTTTTTCTCAGGGGGTTTAACTTGTGCTGAACTTATTTCTTTATGAGCTGATGACGGCGTAGGAAGAGCAGAGTCAACCTAATTGACGCCATTTTTTCTTGAAAATTTCGGTTTAAAAAATAAGAGCATAAGCAGTTTCCGGTTTTTGACCACCATTCTTAAAAAAAAACGTAAGGAATAAGCTAGTTATATAAGTTATTTCTCCATATATTCCGCAGTCTTTCAAGTTTGGCTAAAATATGACGCATTTGTAGTATAATACTTGACTTTCATAGTCTTCGTATTATCGCACTCACTTTTTGAAAAGTGTGAGCGTATTCTTTGATGCATAAACTTTCAAAGCGTACATAAGATATACATGTCTTGTCGGGATGCTTTGTTCTTCAGTACGAAGCTGCAAAATTAAAAAATTCACATGCAAGGAAGACAAAGGGAAGTTTTGAAACTCGCAAACACACAATATTCCTTCCTGTGACGTATCGTAAATAAAACAATGCTTTATATCCTCGCTCTCCCGTTTTCCACCTAACAGCAATAAAAGGTATACTTTGCTCGTTATTGTCTGTTCTGCTTAGTTCGTGTGTCTGAGCAGTGGCGTAACGAAAATTCCTGTGGATCTACTGAAATATTTTTTCCTTTACATCGGTCATACTTTTCTCCAACATGCTCTTACGCTTTTTATATTAATAGACGTTGTTTGAACGTAAACAACAATTAGCAACATCCTCACATACTACTGTAAGTTAAGTCAATTTAAATTCATTTTACATTATTGTTGCTACTGTTATCAATGTAATTGCAGCTCCTGATGATGATGGCAAAGTCCATTGAAAGCTAGAGAGAATAAAAAAAGTATAGAGTCCTCTTTGCTTAAATTTTTGTCGAAGTACCCAACAAAAGGCGGAAGCTTTAAATTTTCACCTATATATATATACTCGTACATATACTCATATGAATATATATAAATAGATGCACATACACATACATACCTGTACATACAAATATACATACACACATATATGTATATGAACGTTGGAGGTTTTTTACTACTACATTAATTTTAAATTCCTTTCATACGTATCATGTTTGCAATTTGATGTCGATTTCTTTCAATTATAAATTTTTTGGTTTCAATTTTGAATTTTGTTTTGTTTGAAATATTTCTTATATAAGTTGGTAATATGTTATATAATCTACTAGAAAGGTAAGTATGATATCTTTGGCCTATAATTTTTGAGGTGAAAGGTGTTTGCTTAATGTTGTTGATTTTGTTTCTAGTTTGATATAAGTGATCTAACGGAATAAGATTATTTTTATGGTGAAATTGATAATCTATAATTTAAAAAAAATGGTTGCCTAGAGTCTAATAGTTTTGTTTCAGAATACAACAGATTAGATAAGGGTATAATAGTGGCTTGTCAAAGATTATTTTTAAAAATAAAACCACATGTATCGACAAATCTTCTTAACTGTAGTAAATCTTTCAATCACAGATGTGATCTTATGAGTACAATGGCAGATAAATCAAATATTGTCGTTTTACTGAAGAAGATCACCTTTGTGATTGAATCGTTTACTACAATAAAAAATATCTGTTAATACATATGGTTTTATTGGCCAGACAAGCATGGGGGATTATCGATATGAAACCACAGGTTATGCTTTAGATTTTATTTTATTAAGCCTTTAAAACTCGTTTATTTGCTAATGACACAGTTTTTATTCATTCCTGAAAAACTCATTTTACTTTCCTACTCATCAGACTCATGTTGAAAGCGAGCAGCTAACCACTGATCCTTTTTTAGAACGAAACATCTTTGCGTCCCTTTTGATCTCCCCAGATTTCCTTGTATTTCTTCGGGCCTCTTTGATTCTTCACAGGTTAAAATTGTAATACATATCTACTGTAAAATGAATATGACTAAATGGTTACGAAACGTGCTACCTGTGCATGCTCAGTTCTCCTTAGATCTCTTTGCGTTGAGTAGAAATTCTCCCTGGACTGCTTCAGATTTCTCCCCATTAGGATAGAAATTTTTTTCGGCTATCGTCTTCTTGAATTGCGTTGCGTCAGTGTCAATGTATTTCTACGTAACCTCATAGACCAATAATTACTGAAGTCCCTGTTAATAAATGTCACATTCCATTGTAAATACTGACGTATTACAGCAAATACTAATCGTGGACATTCGTCTCAGGGAATCTCAGAACTTATCACTGCCAGGTAACAGCTTTGGCTTGCTACTGGCATTGCCATACAGTGCTTTTCAAAAGGTCCCTCCCTACGTATTTTTTGGACGGGTCAAGTTAGCCAGCTTTGAAATTCGGGGTAATGAAATTGCACATTTAGATAGTTCCTTACAAAAGAACATTGATATAACATACTATAACATTTTAACAATTAATTGAGTTATAAGCGATTCAATGTATTTTATCAGTCTGCCATTCCGCCATTTCGGTAGATAGTTATTTCATATTCTAGGGTTATGAAGTACTCATAAGTATCTTCAAAATGATGTACCACACGGCCCCTCTCTCATTCTATTTAAAAACATTCCAAAATGGCGCACACGGCAATCTTGAAGTTTTTAACTGCCACTTTATGCTGTAATGTAGTATCCATGTATTAATTTCACTACCCCGAATATCAACTTGCTACTTGGTCCGCTCAAAAAATAAGTAGGGGGAACCTTTTTGAAAAGCACTGTAGGTATGGGATTGTTGTGTAGTGGGTGTGAACAGCAAGATGAGACTCTTTTGGGTGGTGCCACCAGCGTTTGCAATGGTTTGGGGGTAGCTGGTAATCCAGCCCTGTAATACTTTTGTTCTGGGAGAGAGGGCAGGTGCCCTAAAAGCTGTGATATTGAATGATTACTGTTCCTCTTATATAGAATACAAAAGAGATGCTATCATGTTAGTCAACCTAGTTGTTCCTCATTAAATTTCATTAGCTGCGGACTGATAGCATTGACGTTAGTGCCATTGAAAATCGTGCACCTGATCGTAGGAAATCCATTTAGGTTATCAAGGACACTTATACGATTGTCCGCATCAGACAAACGAATGAAATGGGATAACAAATCGATACGCTGAATATTTTTTTCAGCTGATAGTTGCAAAGGAATCTGTTTTCTGTTATGCACAAGTTTTGTTGGATCCATGGATGATCCGCCGCTGAACTCGAAGTGCGCTCACTTCGGAAGCCTTTTATCTCAGTTGGCATTGTATTTTGTTCCAAAGCGACGCTACACTGCATTAAAAGCAGAATAAAGCAGACGTACTAGCAGGCCCATTGGGGAAGGTTATGGTTGGTGTACACAATATGCTAATAGTTTTCCGAGATTTCAGAGTACTAGAATAGTAGATTTGTTCTTGAGTGCACGGTACAACCAGCGTTATGTATGAAATATTTTTCTTCTCTGCGTCATTCTAGGCGTTCCATGGGGTTGCCCGGACTCTTTTGTGAAATGTAAGATGCATGATCAAAAATATGTTTTGTGGACATCCCAGTACACCGACTCGCATTACCCTGAACAAGCACATTCGCACCGCTTTGTACCACCAGCCACGCGATGCCGTCCTAGTATGCATGCGCAGACAGACAATCTAATCAAAAATTGAATCTGTGGTGACTGGATTCGGGGATTGATCACGTATTCGATGAATGAAGGAGAGAAGCTCACTAAACGCATATACGGATTCTTCTCTGATCAATGTTAAGTATAATTTATGAAAATGTTTTTGGTATCATCCGATGAAATCAGTGCACAAAAACTGTGACATATGATTTATAGCATAACCCGCTGCCCTATCAATACAAATTTTACATACAGGTCGCCTAGCCATGGGGATGAAGTGGTCGGGGTGAATATCACGGCAGCTACTGATGATTTGGGCATGTCTGGTAACAACGTATGAAGTGAAACTCGCTATCTTCACAAATTTGAAGATTTTGTACAATTTCTTTGAAAATGATGAAAGATGTCTGATTTGACAGGGTAATGTCGCAGCCAAATGGCAGTCACTCTTTCTGACACAGTCCGGATCGAAAGATGACGATACTCGTGAAATGTATTGATACTTCTAAATATATGATCGTATCGAACATCCCTACTGTCAAGATGTATAACCCGAGGTACCGACAGAGCTATTTTGTGGCGCCATGGAAATAATTTTAAATTTTCATTTGCATTTTTTCAAGTGTTGTGCAATGATTTTGGAAAAAATGTCACGAATTGTCTTATAAAGCATAGTAGAGTATATTTCAACAGTTGGCGGAACTTACTCCACTGGGACCAGGAGGGTGAAACGGGATATTAATGCACAATCTGGCAACCCTGTCGCACCCTCACAAAATGGCCGCTGACAACCACACAAGTCACCGCGTTGTCATTGAATAGCATGGCATTCAGAGTATAATATGTTTTGTGACTGGTACCAAGAGTTGACAGATCCCACACATGCGTCACTCCTCGAAATGCAATAATCAGCTGTATTCAAATAATGTCTAATATAAATATAACCTAGAATGTGTACTCGTGAAAAAAGAAAAATAACGCAGATTTGTAGTTTTTTTGCATTTTTTATAGGTTTGCTGGTAGCTTTAAGGCATATATTTGGGAATTTCTTAATCGCTATGAATATAGTGTGGATGTTTCTTCAGTTCCTGAACAACGAAAAATATTCAACTTTATGGATGTATGGATATCAAAAAACCTGAATGGTTTTGTGAGAATATCAATCTAAGGTGCCATAATGGTTCTGATGAACGGCAAGTAAATGAATGAATGTTCGGAAACGAGCAATATCTTTTTGTAGAGCCTGTCATCAAGTAGGTGCTTAATGGCTATCTGCAAGAGGTTTATAGGAAAAAACACCCAGTATCGCATATCAATTGAAGAAAATAATATGAACATGAATAAAAAATCAACAATAGTAATTAAAACATGAATTTTATTCAAAAATCCAACATTTCTTTAAATTTTGACTGAATTATATGTAATTTCTTAATTTTCAATAAGCTGGTGATGTTTCAATGACAAGCTGTCATCTCATACTTTGACAACATTTCATAGCTATTGGTTGCTAAAATTTGTTGATTGGAACTTGAAGCTCATTCGTTGTATTTGACGGTCTGTTACCCTATAGGTGGAGAATAACGGACTGTTGTTGGTGAAATTACTGAATTACCCAAATTGAGTAATTTTTTATAGATTTTTTTTTATTATTCTGTACATATTCGGCATGATAATTGGCTCCAAGGCCATGGGCATCTGCTTGATGATTAGTGAGCTACGATGATCGCAGGATTGCAGCAGCTCTTATTGGCTTGGACAGGTGCTGCCCAAAAGTTCAACACTCTGCTCCGCACGTACAGCTGTCTTCGAAATGTCTGTCTCTGCATTTAAAAAAAATGGAAGAATTAGCCAGGTCAATAGCGTGTGAAGTGATCGTAAAAGCAAAGATGAGAGTTTGATTTGCGAATCATATTCCAGGCTGAATGTGTTCGCTGAGATGGCTTCATGCACACTGCTTGATAGCTTGCTACTCGCCTGATGAGATCAAATTAAAATAATGAAGCAGATGCGCATGATTTATTTTTACTGTCAGACCATACAACATTACGTTCATATTGGATTTCAGTTCTTCCAGTTTGTGGTTTATAAATTCTTTCGGATTGTGAACTAACATTATCAAATGTGCAAATGCGAATAGAAATTTCGAAAACACCACATATAACTTAGAAACAATGAAAAAAATGAAGTCAAAAAGAGCAAACTTGTCACTCCTGAAGTACCTCTCACTGGGTACAGTCAACACCAATAATACGTTAATATTTTCTCACCATCTCACAAATCCAAGGCATGTTCATTCTCCGTTAAATTTAGCTAAATCGTATATAACATAGGAGCACGTCAATAGCGGTTTTGGTGGATGTAAATGAATTCACTATTGTTGCTTGTATTGACTCTTTAATATGAGAATTCTGGAAGTGAATGTCCCAGAGCAGATATTACTATACTCATAAAGGATTCTATAGGTATTTTCACTGTTTTTGGGGACTCACTGTGGTAAACTACAAGAATTACTTTCAAACGACCATCTCCTTCACACAAAAATAATGCAATCGGTGTCTATGCGCGGACCTTTCTCTGTGTAAACTGAAAGTCATACGTTTTTGCATTTTGTTTCACCGCCATGAAAATTCTGTCGTCATCGTATAAGTCCTTCACATTCATGCTTGTCACAATCAGTATGACGACTTTTTGTCCTGGGCGTGTGATTTGTATTTACCCATGTCGATCTTCGATGTAAAATATAGTAGTGCCTGGAGATGCAGCAAAAATGTGTGTCTTAAAAGTATTTCCAGAAACTGAGTGAAGACAACGGTCATATATAAACCAATTCATGTGTGTGTGCAAGAGCGAGTAGCAGCTGCGTTATGTGTCGGCGTGCACAGTGTGCAGTTTCACTTAGAGGAGCACAGCTACGCACATAGTAGCATTAGTCATTCTATTTACTTATTTATTATGGCACTGCCAAAAACCGTGAAACGAACTATAAGAATGAATTCATAATGACAAACAAACTTACAGAGAACTACTCTAACTGCCTAATGTAATTAGTAATCCTTTTTGTCGTCCGTTATTCCACAAAAACGCACTAGTCATTGTCATGGCGCAATATGTTTTCCCTTAATTAACAGAATTGCCATCACGTCTGCTGAAAGGATTACGATTCGCTCCCATTCGTGTTCTATCCGTAAAGCCATTCTTATCGCTCCTGCTCTACATGCACGCTCTGGAGTCCCATTATAGTCCAGGTGGGCTCACACGCCCGGAATCAAGTTGAAACGAACAGGGTTGGACTCCAAGGTTGTTCTACAATTTACTACTGTTATTACAGTTTTCATTCTTCGTTCATCGAATGAGACACACGAATAAGTGCCCATAATTCAGGGGTATTATACAATAGATATACTCGTAGTGTCATTAAAAATCGGTACTGAAATGCAACAACGACGTATAGAAGTTACAGTTTAAGCCATAGTCGCCATATTAAC